AAGTCACTTCGTCGTACCGGAGTCTCTCAGTGTAGGTGCACTGCCATCATTGGACCTAAACGCTAAGAGGGACTATCTGAGCAGTACAGGACTTCATAGCGTTTGAACACTGCGGTGCGTCAAATTCAGGACCGCATTTTGACTGTAGCTGAAGAAAGACCGGATCGGCCACCATCTACAGTTTTCGTCATCCGTAGGTAACTACATGTTATAAATTGACTTACGATAAAACCATGTTAGAAAGTATACACAACGTGAAGAAGGAACATTTAATTTTAGAAGCACATTCATGAGAAACTGCATGAGTAATTACTGTTTTGTTTTCTGATCATGTTACCGCATAGAGTTGGACGAGTGCTACTGCAACACGTGCGAAGGGCGAGGTTTCTGCACCGACAGACCTAACAACTTCACTTGCCGATGCGATCCGGGCTACACGGGACAAAGCTGCGATTTGGGTAAGCAAGATACTGCGAAAGTACTTTAATGAATGACTGTTGTGAAAAATCGACTGACCTAGACCCAAGATTGCGAAAATTCTAAATTAACTGAATTCTATATTAAATTAATTCTAAGTAGATTCTATATACGAGGTGGGGGAGGTGAAAGTGCTCGTTTCTCTTGTTTCAGACTTTCGTTTGTTCCAGAGGGTAAGTCTCCATAAAACTTTAAATTAATTAATTTCTAAATTAAATTAATTCTAAGTAAATTCTATATACGAGGTGGGGGAGGTGAATGTGCTCGTTTCTCTTGTTCCAGATTTTCGTTTGTTCCAGATGGTAAGTCTCCATTTCATTCCACCATAGTTCCTGGAATGCGCCATTGTGTCAATCGGGACAGGGCACCACAATCTATTTCTGAAGGTATGGAGTATCAGCAGCGAAGTAAAATTTAATCATTATTTTTCTGTATGATAATAGAGAGTCAAAAACGTCATGCAGCAGCTACTGACCCACATCGCTTCTTTCAGTGCCCGGCATGGTCTTCCCGCATGTCCTGCCAACGAGTTTGTACCAACTTCCCGCTTTTCAACGAATATCGCTACTTGCCACAGACTTCCCTGCTGGCAGATCGACTATGGATGCGATTTTCGAGTTAATGTTACCATCTAAGGTACACCCGGAACTCAAACGGCTGCCTCGCATGACTTGCTTAAATTTAAAGTCGGTTTTTGACTCAGTGGTTCGTTAGGTGCTCATGTTAGAATTCAAGGACATCGGTGTCCCGGACTTATGCAGATGCAGCGGCTCTCATATTCAGCTTGCTTTGGCTCTCTCAGATTGGTTTCCCACATCGCTGGGTGTGAGACAGAGATACTTGTTTATATTTGTTTACCATGACCTCATTTGCGAAGTCATCGAGAAGAGTCGTGAGTATGCGCCGAAGGGCTTCAGCCTTTGTGTTGGCGCCTG